TCATTCCCTGGGGCAGTTGGCCTAACCCACTGATGACTCTTCTCCTGGGCTTTCTGCAAGTAATCTTTGCCCAGCTCTCCACTGTCGATCATCTGCCGGATGACCCCTTTAACACTTTTGCATTCGGAGGTGTTATGGGAATCAGACCTGTGGTACGAACAATAGATGCCCGACCACTGCCGCCCTACTTGACCGGTAGGGTTTTCTGGAGGAATGACAGGTGCTTTCCGGACTTCTTGGCATTCTTCTGTATTGTCCACTCGGATGACCGGGTCATAGTGGTGCCTCGGCCGGCTAGGCCCCGGTGCTTCTTCCTTCTTGACTTGCACCGGCTTGGGCTTGTGACCATGCTCAGCTTCTCTCTTTGCCCGGAGTTGGGTTTCAGCTTCAGCAAACTCCCACGCAGTATGGTAGGCCTCTTGGTACGTGGCTGGGGGTTTCCGGCAGAACTCCTTGTATAGTTCCCCGGCACGCAAGCCATTCAAGAGGAGGGAGAGGACGGTCTTGTCATCCATCTCTTCCACCTTGTCCACCTCTTCCTTCCACCGGGTAAGGAACTGAGTAAGCTTCTCAGACTCCCTCTGCCCGGTTGTACTAAGATAGGTGAATTTCTTCCTCTTAGTACAATTCTCCTGGAACTTGGCCTTGAATTTTGAGGCCAAATCACTGAACGAGTCAATGCTTCCCGGGTGAAGCTTATTGAACCATTCAGTGGCTCGGTTCCGCAAGGTCTGGAAGAAAAGAAGGCACTTTTCTTCATCGGTGCAATCGTTCATGGTCGCACTCTGGTTGAAGGAGTCCAGATGGATTTCCGGATCTTCCTTCCCGGTGAATCTGGGGGCGTCGATCTTGACCTTTCGCGGGAAAGGTGTCAGATGGACCCTTGCGGTGAACGGGGACCCTCCTAGGGGTTTGTCCCAGTCATTCTTCTCTCCGACCTTCTTTTCCAGCTTTGCCTCCATCTGCTGGACGCGGTCGTTTGGGATGGTTAACCGGTTCGCCACCGGTAACCTGGGCTGGATCTCTGCCTCCCCTTCCTGGTGAGAGGCCCTCGTCCTTGCCGGCTCCTGCCGGTTAGACCGGGAGCGCCGGGTGCGGGCAGGCTCGGCCTCCCGCACCTCGCCTAGCCGGGCGAATGCGCTGACATGGGCAACGCTCTGCCCCAGCCTCTGCTTGGCTGACTTCCTCTGGCCTTCCTCCCTAATCCCCAGCCTTTCGAAGGCGGAGTTTCGGGAGGTTGCTGGCCGGATGTTCTTTCCTTTCTTCTTCTTGTGGGCCCTTGGGATGTCCCACTCGCCGTCATCACTCTCAATCGAGACGCAATGACCATCAGGAGTGATCTGCAGATCCGTAGCTTGCGGGGGACGCGACGGCCCTGCAGCGTTAAGTGCACCGGCCAAGTTGACAGGGGCCATGGTGCTGACCAGCTGGGGCTGGAAAGGTGATGGTTGCGGCATCGGCGTCTGGAACGACGTCACCGCCATCGGAGCTTGTAGGGGCATGGTCCCCGCACCTGGAAGGGCGAATGGGAACATACCAGGGAGGAAAGGCATCCCCCCGTTCTGCTGGCACATGGCCATGACCTGGCCAAAGACCTGGATGGCTTGTAGGTTGGCTGGGTCATTCATGAACTGAGTCATGCTTGGTGGGAACGTTACCCTCGGTCTAGCGGAAGGGACGGGGGTCACGAAGGGACTGATCACGCTGGCCGTCGGGACAGAGCTCAGGCCCAGAGGCAGCACCGGGGCTGAAATGACCGGTATGGTAGCAGCCACAGGGATGCTGGCGCCCTCATTGGTGGCTTGCACCTGTGCGGAAGTAGCGTTGATTTGATGACTGGAAGACATTTCGAGTGGTGTTTTGGTGGGTAGGTTTGTGTTTAGGAGAAGAAACCTTAACGGTCCCACGGTGGGCACCAAAAATGATGGTGTAAATTACTTGACCGGTCAAACTATACTAGACCGGGTCTAGAATAGTTCGCTTGATTTGGCAAAGTAAGAAAGGTAAAAACACGCAAATTGACCGGTAGGACTTTAGGTGGAACACCTGTAGCCCAATTTATATTATAACGGAGAATGCACGGGTGCTTTTACAAGGGAGTTTAGAGAGAATGAATTCGGATCCCTCTTTCTGAGGTTTACATGAGTATTTATACTAGGCTAAGGGGACAGGACCACGTGCGCCCACGTGGGGGCATGCTGCTGATGTGGTGCGAGGTGACTGGTTTCGTCCTCGAGCTGCCTTGTCGCCTTGTGAGGGGGATCATTCCCTTTGTCGAGTTGCGCCTTGGATGGATTCTTCAGCATCTCTAGTTGTCCTCTACTGACACGGGTCGCTACACGCCAAACCCTCGCAGATCCTCTTCTGCCGACACTTTCCAACCCCAGAAACTACACCGGGTAATCTCCGAGGGATGAATTTATCGAAGTCTAAAACAAATAGGATGACAACGTAGTTTGACCGGTATACTTTTTGTGAAGTGTACCGGTCATATTTTGGCCGATGATATATCGTTTTGCTGACGATTTAAGTCTCCCTCCCAAAACTTTCGAGATTGACCGGTCAAAGATTCGGCCTTCTCCTTTGACCGGTCTTGGGTGAAATACACCCATCATATATTTTTTATTTTTTATTTTTTTACCAATATGTAAATAAAATAAATTAAAAAAACTTGATATTTTATCTCGGTAATAGAAATGTGACAAATAATTTGGGACGGAGGTAGTATTAAAGATTAAAGGATAAAAGTACCCCAAACTTTTGTACCCTATTTTGTACATCGTTGGTTTGCACTGACATTTTGTGTTGATGTAAAACTAATTTTTGTTAACGCACTAACACTTTGTGTCTGTGTAAATTTTTATTAACGCACCCACACTTGTGTCGGTGTAAACTATCAAAATATTTGTGTATAATTACAGTGTACAAATGGGGTACAGTTTTTGTGTAAGTGTAGCATGGCCCAAGATAAAAATCAACTAAAAACAGACGTCATCCCAAAAACCCTCACAATCACCACGATTACATGAGATTGATGAGAATAAACCAGAATGTCTCCTTAGTTTGATAAATATGTCTCCTAAGGTGCTGTTTGTTTTTTCTGCAGAAAAAGGTCTGCAGTCTGCAGACCACATCTGCACACATCTGCAGGAGAAGAAGTGGACCAAAGGTCTGCAGTCTGCAAGAGGAAGACTGTTTGTTTTTTAACTTCTGCAGATTGTTTAAAAACACTGAAATTTAAAATAAACAGATTTTTAAAGCAATCAATATTTTTTAAACATTCAAATTTAAATAAGAGTTCTACAGCACTGAAATAACAACAATAGCATTTTTAAAATAACAATAATAACAATATTTCAAATAATTTATTCCGCACTTTGCATTAAGTGCTCGGTAATTTCATCTCGTAACTTGATCATATATTCACAATCCGATGCAGTACTGTGTACTTCAACCTCTTCTTCATCAACATCAACGTGCCCACGACTATTTCCTAATGACACGTTTAGTTGATCATATTTTGTAAAGAAGTCATCGCTCAAGCACTCTTTCCTTATAAAATTATGTAGCGCGAAACATGCAATGGCAATGTTCCTTTGTGTAACCAACGGAAATGGTGCCATCCTCTTCAATATAGGGAACCGGGCTTTCAAAACACCAAAAGCACGCTCAATAACGTTTCGAAGTTTTGCATGTGCATGGTTAAATTTCTCTTTATTGGTCAATGCACGTCTCCGACGAAAATCTGCAAGCCAATACCTCACATTACGATATGTAGCCATAAATCCTCGTGTATGTCCATACGCGGCATCACAAAGATAATACTTATTTGTAAAGAAATATAATCAATTAAGGTATTGAAGTACGATAGACATATTTAAAAAACCATAAACATACCTGGTGGTGGAATCGGGAATGGTGCATGTGGATCTGATAATGCCTCTGACAATATTCTAGCATCATGTGCTACCCCTTCCCAACCGGCCACAATGAACGTAAAAATTATGTTGAAGTCACAAATTGCTAATACATTTTGATAACAATCCCCTTCCCCTCTTCCTCTATATAAATCTTGTTTACTAGTAGGGACAACTGCGTGTATCAAAGTTCCATCTAGTGCACCAATCGCACCTTTAAAAACCTGTCGTAGCCTCTTGTTTTGTCCTGGAATGTTTGGATTCGGATTGAATGAAGCCTGTACTATAATATCTTTGGCGAAAAGCATCATCTTATCCAAGACTTCATAAAAAAAATTATTAATAGTTTGCTTTGAGTGTTGAAATCTACGCTTGATAACCACGTAACGTTGATTATGACCGATTATCATAAAAAACATAGCCATCTTCTCCTCAACTGATACATGTTTACTATCCTTTAACGAATAATTCATTCTAAAATCTGCACATAGTCGGACAAAGGATTCACGAGACATACGTAGCAGTTCAGTGCATTGTTTGGGATTTCCTTGCAATAACTCTAACGTGTATTTATGTCCCGTCATTTCTAAATCGTTGTCCCGCAATCGTTTGAAACCTCTCTTCTAAAAAAACGGACATACAAGTACATAAGAATAACGATAAGTAATTTCTTATCGTAATCTATAATGATCCTGTATTAACAAAACATAAACAACCATTAAACAAAAACAACCATTACACATAATCAAAAGCATACAATGTATTCAACATAACCAAAAGCATACAATGTTTTGAACATAACAAAACCAAACAATGTTTCCAACATAAGAAAAGCAAACAATATTTCCAACATAACAAAAGCAAACAATGTCTTCAACATAACAAAAGCAAGCAATGTCTTCAACATAGCATAACAAAATGATGTTTTTCACTCCTTTATAAGTCCTAAACTTCTAGCCGTCATCGTGATCCACCCTTTTAATACTTCTGGAATTTCTGGCAATGCCATCCATGTCACCCTCATGTCTGATGACACACCAAAAATAGGGTAAGCAGCTAAAAATAAGGGATCTATTGGGTTTAACCCAACCAACTTTAGCTTCTCTGAACACTCAACAACTGTTGGGCCTTCTTTGCCTTTAATCAAACACCGTATAGCTTCTTGCATATCACGTGCTAATTCATCCGAATTGATAGATGATTTTGAAATTTTAGCCTTTTTCTTTGGATTAGGTTCGGGGTTATGCTCAGGAGTAAGCTAGGAAGTACGATCGGGACTAGGCTCAGGAGTAGGTTTAGGAGTACTGTCAAAGGTCTGATGACCAGTGTCAGTAACATCATCTTCTATTTCATGCAAAACAGTGTCTTGTAGCAAAAGTGGTTTAGGACGACAATGAGAAGATGATGCATCCAGTGATGTTTGTTGGGTTGAGGTCCACTTATGCATCCCAGTGGCAGCATTACCATCAAACAATTCTGCACAAAGCTCTGGAAAAGGCAATGGAACTGTTTTCAAGGATCCAGCCTTTGGATGCCCCTAAACCCAAAGTAAAAACAATTATTGGTTTTGTTTATAGTTAGAACTGAAAAAAGTATTCATAGGAACATACCTTTTTAAAATCTTCCCATTCCTCGTTCGTTAAGGTAAAAGTATTTGTTTGAGCATTGTATATGTTGCCAGTTTTGTTTTTCAAATACACCCATCCACTGTATTTGGCTTTCAGATTGTCATACGCATTTCTCATCTGTTTTTGACTCAAATCAAGCCCAAACGTGTTTGTGCAAACTCAACCCTTTTCCACTGTAACTTATTCCACGACTCTTTGTGCAAACTCAACCCTTTTCTACCCAACGTGTTTACCTCTTCAATACAAGTCTCTAATAAGCATTTTATTTGCTCATTTGACCATTGTTGTTTTTCTCCCATTTCTGTTAATTAACAAACAAAGAGCAACAACATGAACTACTACAGCAATCTTTAGCAACAATTAACAACAAATTGTTCACGATTATATAAAAAAATAAAAAACATGTAAAAAAATATTGTACAAATTGTTGCCGGCAAGGATGAGATTTGTTAATATGCCTTGAATCTATATTGTGTTGCCGCTACGCAGATTAGTAAACGGGGGTCTCTATGTTGTTGTATTGGGATCTAATTGTTGTATTTTTTTAACTTTGATTACTCAATTACTCTATTCCGTAATAACAAAAATATAAAAAAACATAGACCATTGTACAAATTGTTAACAACAAAAACATAGTCAAACAACACCAAAGGCACTTCCCTCATCCAGTGCGGATAATCACAAGTCTGTATATATATGTACTAACTAGAGTTTCTCCATGAACAAGAATTGTACACAACTTCAAGAACAGTAGCTTGCTTTCATTTCTTAATTCCAAAACCCCAAATTCACACCTAATGATTCAAGAAACGAACAATAATCCAGTCAGAAAAATGGGCACGCAACATTACCTTCGAGAGAACGATAAACAATTGAGCGGAATCCGACAAGATGGCTTACAACTCTGATTTAGAAAATCGGGCACACAAACTTTGAATGAATCTGTAACAAAAACATTGTTAAAAAAATTGTTTAAAAAAGAGATTTAAAAAACCAAAAAAAGTTTTAAAAAAACTTACTTGTTTGAGAGGAGGAGGCGTCGCTGGAGGTGATGAGGAGGGAGACGGACGGAGGGAGAGAAGTCGCCGGCAGGGGTAGGTTTTGAGATCGGGAAGGGAAGCGGATGAGAAGACGGGTAGGTTTTAGATTGAGAAGGGAGAGATCGGAAGGGAGGCGGATGAGAAGACATGAGAAACTAAGGGTTATGTCTGCTTGAGGAAGATGTTTGGAAGACGTTTTTAAGTGATTTGTCTTCTAAAAACAAACAGTCTGCGCGTCCCTAATGTCTTCCCGCGTCTGCACGGCGCAGACATAAGTGGTTAGAAGCTCTTCTCACCAACAATTACGTTGTTACCCTTCATGGTTCTAATATTAATACGCTAATGCCTCTCTAGATAAAAAAATATCTTTTAAATATTAGGTAAATAATTTTGTTGCCCCTACAATTTATATATATAGAATTAATGATTCTTTATTAAATACTATTTGTATTTTAAATATATATTTTTTATTTAAATATATATAATAATAAGTAACTTCTTTATATCAAATACTCCGTAAAAATTTAAAAAATATAAAAATTTATAGAGATGGAGAGAATATCTTGTTTATTATAGAAAAGGTTCATTATATATTAAGAGAAATCTTTATTTATTTTAAGTTCAGCAGTTGATGTATTTTTAAATAATTATTATATTTATTTTGCATTAAATACGTTAATAATTATAAGTAGATCAAATTGTTATCAATAAATGCTAAAACTTTTCATCTTGTTTTAGTTTTTTTACTTTATATTCACTTTTCTATAAAGAAATGAATTTGTTTCCTTTTAATCATATTGACTGATTGTTTTAATAAATGCTTTAAATTTGAATTTTTTTAAATTTGTTTTGCTTTTAATTCTATTGACTAATTTTTTAAATATATTTTTGTTGATGATTTTACAAATAACATAATTTTTAGATCTTCTGATGAATTGTATGATTTATAATTGACATGATTACAACAATTTATTTTTAAAAAAATTTTCATATGCCTAAAAGTTTGTTTGAAAGTTTTATAATTTATTAAATCTGAACCAGGTATTAAAAAAATGTTTACGTATACTTGTGATAAAATAAAATTTTATTAAAATTTACAAATTCTATAAATTCTAAATTTGGATTCATTAATTCAAAATAATTAATTATTATTTTTTAAAAACATAGTAAATAAGATGAAATAATTGGAGAAGAAAGGAGAAGGAGATTATATATTAAAAAAGAAAATAAATCATTAAAGATTTCAACATGTCATTCTCTAAATATTAACAATGTCAATCTCTCAGGTTTGACACATGTCATTCTCTTAGAGATCAAACTCTCAAATTTATATATAAATGATAGGAAATAGATATTATATTTAATTACCTTCCTTATTTATTGTTTCTGTATTGTATTGTTACCATAGTTCTTTTTTAACTGTGATTAGAATTTTATTTTGTAATCCCTATATATAGGGAGATATACTTCAATAATCAATAAGAGACCAATTATTATTAAATTATAACATGATAGAGGAGCCACCATTCTTGGTGACCTAAATTTTTCTGCCTTCACACCTTGTGGGCGGCATCGTCATTAGCCGCCCCTCCGGCCATTGTTCTTCTTTCTTACCACCCACAAATCATTGTCCAGTCAAAAAAACCACCTGCTACCTTAGATCAAATGCACTGCCTCTCTATTCTTCTTCACATCATCGCAAGCGACTTATGCAATAAGTTGGCGCCTGTCTTCTATTTCTAGCGACAAACGGGCACACGTTCAAGAGTGCTGTCATCGTCTCGCATGCGGCTCTCTACAGCTTCTTCTTTGTCCACATAAGGAGTGTCGTTGAAGGATCTCAAATCTACTGCTGGTTTGAGAAATCAGTCGCCGCAAACGAGTAAGACCAACCAATTTGCTGCAGGTTGAAGCCGCAGTAGCTATACAGTTGTTCTAGTCTGAGTAGATGTTCCAGTACGATCATCACTGCCTCTTCCTCCATCTACCTCTAAACCCTAGCTGCCACTACCAGCGATTTTTTCCTTCTCTGGCAATCGCCATAATCACCCATCATATTCTTTTCTCTTTTTTCAAATGTTCACAATTGTTATTCCAACAAGAACTTACTCATCACGATCAATCTCCATTGTCTCAAATCCATGCTGAACCATATTCCTTTTTTCTGTCCGCAATCACACATTCTTTATCAATCTTCTTTTTCTTTCTCTTCAGTAAGACCAATAAAAATACTCAAAACAAATCAACGCAAAAACAAAACCAAAAGGAAGAAGAAAGATGAAACAATACCTTTACAACTCACCCCTCTTAGAAAGTCATAAAAGTTTTCACATTTGAGAAAAAAAGAGGGCATTGCCCGGATCCAAGAGAAAAACAAAAAAAAATGTCTAGGATCTTCAGTCAAACTGACACTTCCAATATATAGTCTTCTCTTCTTCTTTGACGTCAGCAGCTACTATACAAGTGCACATCCTCTTTCTCCATTCTTCAAAGAAGTTAGCATACAACTACCAGTGCACGCCATGCTTCTCCCTCTTCATCGTCGATGTTAGTAGCTACCAGCGCACGTCAGACTTCTCTCATGTTTTTAGTTTGCAGCTAGTGTCCAAGCTTCCTCTTGCTTCACCGAGAGTTCAGCTTGAGGGGAATGTTAGACCTGCAATAATAATAACAGTTTTACTTATGATTGTATAGGTTACAGTAGTGTTAGATTATTAGTCAGCTTCCTATTCCTATTTATCGTAGATATTATATTTTAGTTAGTTTCTATTCTCTATTTCTAGTAGTGTAAAGAGTATCTCTAATATGTACTCTATCATGTACTCCATAATTCACTAAGCAATATTATTCTTTTAATATTTCAACAAAATCATTGGAGTTATTGTGACTTGTTTTGGATTATGATAAATACGTATCTGCTTTGAGGTTGTTTGTTTTTTGCAGTTACAAGAAAACATTTTTTTGTTTTTGTGGTTTGTTTTAGATCTATTTCAATTTTAAAGTTGTATAAGGTATTGTTTCATTGTGCTATATTATTCTTACATAAAGTAAAAAAATAATTTGTTCAAAAAGTATTACTCCCTCTCACTACAAAAACTGCTAAAATCGCGGCGGAAAAATTCCGCCGCCAAAGGCTTATTTCCGTAGGTAATGGGTTTAACAACGGAATTAACGACAGTTTTTTTCCGTCGTTATTTTTTCGTTAGTATCAAAGTTAGCGACGGTTTTTGAATTCCATCGCCAGGCAACGACGGAATTGGCGATAGAAAATGGCGACGGGTTTAGCGACGGAATTTTTCCGTCGCCACGTTTAACGACAGAAATGTCGACCGTTATAGCAATGTGACGGTCTCCGAATTGACAACAATTGCACAAAATCCTGTAATTTTTTCAATTTCACACAAGAACAACATCAACTTGCTTTAAATCACAACACAGCATCAAACAACCAACAAATACTAGAAATGAAGACTACCAAACAAGCAAAAATATTCAAATCACCCAGCTACAATTAAAATTCAAATAATATTTATAAAATTCAACTTAAAAAAGATATCTAATTCCACTTACATAACCATAAAACTTAAGTTTAATATAATGTTCTTTAATTCTAATAAAACACTCAACAAGCGCCTGCAAACCCCGACCCTCCTCCATCTTCATTGCCATCTCCATTTCCACATGGGAAAACTCCTCCATAGACTCATGTCATTTCTTCTCTAATCGACTAGCTCTAATTTCGTCTAGCTCTCCTCTCAACCTCCTGATCTCATCATCGCGAGGATCCCACATAGAGCTGGTGCTAGCACGTCTTGCCTCACTTGCATGCATTCGTGGTAGGCTCCGTGCGATATCTCCAACACCATGAACCCGATTCTTGGCATCATATCCTCCGACTGCAGATCTAAAAATCTCGTCAAGTGTCACATTTAAGCCTTGTTCACGAACTGCCTCTTGCATGGCTACATAGTTTTGCTGCAAAAAACCAAACATACATGTATTATGAATTCACATTCAATTGAATTCAATGAAAACTAATCATATATATACAATATATATATTCATTGCCAGTTACTAATACTTCTTCTGTCTTCTAATTGACGTAGGTCTTCCCACCATGTTTCTTTGTGTGTGTGTGTACGAAGCGTACAAGTCAGAAGCCTGTCCACTTTTACCCTATATATATATATATATATATATATATATATATATATGTATGTATGTATGTATGTATGTATGTATGTATGTATGTATGTATGTATGTATGTATGTATGTATGTTATGTATGTATGTATGTATGTATATATATATATATATATATATATATATATAAGTGGAAACATGCCACTTAGAACATTTTAATGTAATTTTTGTTACTAATAGTACTTACAAGGCGCGCTTGAGACTCGTGAAAAGACAATGGACCACCGGTGTGCGTGGCGCTAGCAGGGGCACTCTCGTCACCGCCACGATGATTTTTCTGAAACTCTCTCCAGTAAAAGTCTAATGTCGCGTCGCTTAGGCTCTTCCAACTACCCCTGTTAGATCGCGCCTCCGCTGGAATGTGGAACAAATTATATTTACAACAGTACAATATATTATAATCATGTATACATGCAAAAAAAGATATATATACAGAATCACCTTCCAGAGCAATCAATTCTTACAAATCTTACAAGAACAACGCATCTGCTCGTTCAATCTATCTACTTTTGGATTTGATTCACAAAACTCAATGAATTGTCTTACTTTGTCAACCCAATTTGTATTTATAAAATCTGAACTATCAAGTCTTTTATACATCCAATCTAGATTTTCGTGAAAGACACTCATTCTGAGAAATTCAAACAAATAAAATTAACATACTATTAAGTTATATAATTAATTACAAACAAACTAAAAAATATAATATAAATGCAAGAATTACAATGTTGAACAACATATACATAATACGTACACAATCATCATATAACATTTACAATATCTAAAATATGCTACGAAAAAATTAATAAGCATAATATTCGTTCACTAAAAGTTTCAAATTATTTACATAATGTACTCTTAATATATATCATCAATCAATAGTAATTTTGTATTCAATTATAAATATATAATCTATAGTCAAAAAATTTTCAACTTCAATTGTAAAAAAATGAAAAAAAACCTGATATTTGAAGATGAAGACCGGAAGCAGGTGGACAACGAGCAGCGGCGAGTGGCAGCGAACTCGACGACGATTGGCGGGGTGCTGGACGGCGAACGACGTTATGTTCTGCACTTCAGTGTCGTCTTCGGCGTTCTGTCTGTCTAAGAAAAGGAATTCCGTATTTAAGATCTGAATCGTGTGGCGACGGAATTTAGCAACGGAATTTTTCCGTCGCTAAGCCAAAACGATGCGTTTAGATAAATGAAGTAGGCGACGATTTATTTCCGTCGCCAAACTAACGACGGAGATACTTCGTCGTCATTTCCGTCGCTATAAAGGGCGCACACCACTTCCCGCGTATACCTAACGACGAAACTTTTGTAGGATCGTTTTTTGGAACTTCCCAGTAGGTCACCCATCCTAGGACTACTCCCGTTCCAACACGCTTAACTACAGAGTTCTGAAGTTAAAGAGGTGCCAAATGCTTCCTAAAACCAATTGGTGATAGGGAGGTGGACACTTTATATTTAACCACATCTCTCTATAGCCCCAAGCCGAGGTAGATTCCTATAGGGCACCCCCTATAGTTCACTACGGCAGAGCGGAGCCCCACTACTGAGCGGTGGATGGACAGGAGGGGCTTCGCAAGATACACGACTCGTGTACCTCGTCAAGTTGGGCTGTCAGTACCCGATACCGTGACTAGCACAGTAGCGAATCCCTAAGGGTGATCGATGGTCCCCCATAAGACCAACAAGAATTGATACTAGCTAGTTCATAACAATTACTCCCTCCGTTTAATAAAATGTTCTTATTTTGTCGTTTAGGAAAAATAAAGAAGTGTATATTGGTGGTTGACTTTCTTATTTTTTCTTGATGTGATGGGTAAAAATAAATTGTGACGGATAGATTATTAGTGAAAAAATATGATGCCATATGTAACATAAGAAAAAGTATGCGTACAATTTGTTTTTTAATAGAAAGTGGAAGTATTTTGTGGATTAATAAAAAATAAAAGAGAAAGTGTTTTAATAAACAAATTACAAGAAAACGCCAAAAGAACGACGGAATTTGGCGACGGAATACTTTCTGTCGTTGGTAGCGATGGAATTAGCGACAGATTTTGGATGCCTACCAGACGTAACGACGGATTTAAAGTTGTTAGGATAAAGGCCCAACGCTAGAGGGGGGGTGAATAGCGTTTAAAACAAAATCGCAGGAAATTAAAACGAGAGCGTTAAAGTAAAGAGCGTAAAGAAGGAGCACACCGGATTTTATCCTGGTTCACCACAACGTGTGGCTAATCCAGCCCCCCGAGAGACTCTCTCGAGCTACACTAACTCCGTTAAGCTTAAGGGTGCTTAACAAACCGATACAACTTGAGAACCCGAGTCACACGAGCCTCAACACCTTTGCTCGGAGATACCGCACTCCAAGACTTCTCACGAAGGAACAAGGAACTTCCTTCGAGTTTACAACAAGGGAACAAACTCCCTTAAAGTGTATGAAAACACTTAAACACTCAGGAATAAAACTCTCACAAAGAGTAGATATGAGTGAACTAGTAAACGCTCAAGAACACGACAATTTCTTCAAGAATTGGCTCTCAAATAGCTAAGAAAAATAGGAATGCTTATGCAATGAAAGAGTATTGAAATGTTGAAGAATTGTGTGTTAAAAGAGAGGATTTGGGTGCCCTTTTATAGCCCAAAATGGGATAAACCCGTTGCTAGAATTTCCAACAGGATGAAGACAAATTTTTCAGGGACACAGGCTGATAGTCGATTGTCAAACCATGATAATCGATTATCCAAAGATTCCCTGTCCAAAAATTTAAAATTCTATCCGTTGGAGGACA